TAACTGTACATAACCATTGGAAAAGGCGAAAAGCCTCTCACGGAGAAGGAAAAAGAAAAGAGGGCAATAGCTGACTAAACTTCGGGCATTGGTTAAACAAAACAATTATAATACCAATTGTACGTGGGAGAAATCAATTTGTACAGAAAAAAATTCACAGAAATGCGATAGAATAGAGACAAACGGGGGTCTCATTGTGTATTTAAAAAGGAAAAAAATGTGCGGGCCTCACCCATGTGTGAGTATTCTGTTGCGATTTTGTGGAATTTTTTTCTGTATGTGCAGCACTTCTCTTGTAAGTGAAGTGTGTTTTCAAACAACAAGAGGCCAATCAAATAATATTGAGTATTCGAGAAATAAATGGGCCATTTCTTTGAAAAATTGTGCAAATATACAAATGGAACCTAACAATACAATTCCTCCGATTATATACAATCCATCCTTCTCCATTTCATTTTTTATTTCTTGCTCTCATAGCGTAGACATTTTTACTATCAATTCTTCTGTCTCAAATTAATTCAGTAAAATTACAGTGTATTAGTATTAATTAAAACATGTGGCGGCCACATAGACGAATGCTAAACACCTTTGAGATTAGATTGAATAATAACATTACCTTATTCTCAAATATTCAAGTGTTTCTTGTTATCCCAACGAAGACCACTTTATTGATCTAAAAAAAACATATGTTTTCCTCGCACTTTGCTGATAATTATCAGAGATTTGTCATATGTACACTGAGCACTTTGGCGTACAGTCTCCCTTACAATAGGGACCCACGAATTTTTATTGAATGTGGGCCCCTACTTTTGTGAGAGAATGTCAATCACAATGGAGAAATAATAAAATACAGCACCCCGCAATTAGTAAAATCCTAATTATTGAGGTCATTTTGTTATTATTTATCATAATGTACCCACCAACATGTAATCCGGCGAAGAACAGAAAATCTTTCCTCGATTTGTGGGATCACACTTTTTTATTGTTAGAACCATCTCGGCGTGGTTCATCGCATCAAAAGTCTACACTCATTAAATAAAACAAGGGGTATTTTCACGAATGTCCACAGTTAAGAGTGTGAGTTGAAAAGTGTCCAATTTTCAAATTTAATA